CTAACCCTCCCCCTAACCCTAACCCTAACCCTAACCCTACCCCTAACCCTAACTCTAACCCTAAACCTAACCCTACCCCTAACCCTAACCCTAACCCTAACTCTAACCCTAATCCTAACCCTAACCCTAACCCTAACCCTATCCCTAACCCTATCCCTAACCCTAACCCTATCCCTTACCCTAACCCTAACCCTTATCCTGTCCCTAACCCTGACCCTGACCCTTACCTGACCCTAACCCTAACCCTGACCCTGACCATAACCATAACCCTGTCCCTGACCTCCTATCCTTAACCTCAGTGTAATGCTCACCTTTAAGGCAATCTCTCACCGAAACCGTCTCCATTAAATACCCTCACCCTCACTGACCCTCACCCCTACCCTTATCCTCACTGACCCTCACCCCTACCCTCACCCTCACTGACCCTCAATAACCCTCACCCTTACTGTCCCTCACCCTCACTGTCCTGCACCCTTACTGTCCCTCACCCTCACCGCCCAGCACCCTCACCCTTACCCTCACCCTCACTGACCCTCACCTTCACGACCCTCATTCTAACCCTAACCCTCACCCTCACCGACCCTAGCCCTCACCCTCACGACACTCACCCTCACCCTGACCCTCGCCCTCAGGGACCAGAAACCAGTCCCTGAGGGACAAAGCTGAGGAATTGTCTCCTCACCCCGAGGGAGTGAGTGACCTTACACCCCCCCAACTCCCTGACCCACACCGGCAGGGCGAGCGAGCGTGCGAGGTATCGTCAGCTCAGTCTGAAGCTTTTCTCGAGGGACAGAGTGTGATGGAGGAGCTATCTGCTCTCTCCCAGCTCCCTGATCCCTGTGTCTGCCCTGAAAGGTACAGATGGTTAGAAACAGGATTAAGTTTTTCTGGAGAAGGGTCCAGACCCGAAACGTCAGCTTTCCCTGCTCCTCTGATGCTGCCTGACCCTGCTGTGTCCCTCCAGCTCAACAACTGTGTGTTATTTCAGACTCCAGCATCTGCAGTTCTTACTGTGTTTAAGTTACACCTTTTGCAGGGACGTCTGTCTCTCTCGGAGTTGGAGGTGAGGACACATTGGAACAGGGGCCCGTTTCCCGGGGCTGGGGTCACCTGGCTCCCCAGGTTGCTGTGATCCACGAAAATTGACCAAACCCTTTCAAATCCGTCGCTGAAATCCCACTCCTTTAAACCTTTGAGCTCCTCCATGACATCAGGAGAAGTCGGGAGTGGTGGGTGATTCTGCCATTCCTTGCCCTCTTATCCCCCACCCCGGGAAGCGGTCGATTTGAAAGGCATGTGGCAGGGGGCATCCTTTAGGAAAAAGGGAAGGCTTTGCATTTCAATAGCGCCTGTCGCTGGGCCACAAAGAGACGCGCGCAGCGGCCCAACGAGAAGCAGGAATCACCGGAGGGAAGCTCAGCGGGTCTGCGGAGAGAAACGTTTCGCGTCTTTCTTTGGACCCGCTGAGATCTCCGTTTGTTTTCCCGAACCGCCCCCCCCCCCCCCAACCAAACCCCGACCCCCCGTCCCCACCCCCAGCATCTGCGGTTCCTTGGATTTACTCACACACATACAGGCTGCAGCGGTCTGCAAATGATGATTTAAACACCCCTGCGCTGCAGGTGAGGAGAGAGAGAGAGAATGAGCGACAGAGATGATCGGGTAACATCCAGGGGTCTGCTCCTGTTTCTATGTAGGCTCCACTCAGCAACGTCATTTCTTCCTCAGAGCTCAGGGTCCCGGACGGTTTGAGGTACGCGGGGCCAGTAGGGAATGGCCTGGGGAACTTCACGACCTTACAGGCCACGGCTGAAGGCACAAAGACCAACATCATCGTCGCTGTTTTCTTCATCAGTTTGGTGACCGTCCTGATGGGCATCTCCCTGTACTGCACCCTGAATAGAAAAGGTGAGACTTTCTGGGGGAATTCCCCCGGGGCTGACCCCACCCCCAGAGAGATAGAGAGAAGGAGAAAAAGGGAGGGAGGGAGTAAGAGAGAGGGGGAGAGAGACAGGAAGAGAGAGCAAGAGTGAGGGAGTGAGATGGGGAGAGACAGTGAGAGAGAGAGCGAGAGAGAGGGAGAGAGAGATGGAGAGAGAGCGTGAGAGAGGGGGAGAGAGAGCGAGAGAGAAGGAGAGAGAGAGGGAGAGAAATGGAGAGAAAGAGCGAGAGCAAGGGAGAGAGATGGGGAGAGAGAGCGAGAGAGAGGAAGAGAGATAGGGAGAGAGAGGGGGAGAGAGAGCAAGCAAGAGGGAGAGAGAGAGGGAGAGAGGGGGGAGAGCGAGCGAGAGAGACGAAGAGAGAGAGGGAGAGAGAAGGAGAAAAAGGGAGAGAGAGAGGGAAAGAGAGGGGGAGAG